CTCTGCCATGAAAACATGACAAGTAATCAGCAGGAACACTATAGATTTTATCCACTCTTCTGAAAAATATCGAAGGATGCAATCTCTGCCATGAAAACATGACAAGTAATCAGCAGGAACACTATAGATTTTATCCACTCTTCTGAAAAATATCGAAGGATGCAATCTCTGCCATGAAAACATGACCTCCTACACATCATTATATTCCGTCCAGGAGTGTTTGGTGTCAAAACAACGCAATGGGGACAAGTTTCTCATGTAGTATTGTTTTTCTACCCTATCATCAGTACAGAAAAGTACGAAAGGTGACAGATCATACCACATCACATTCTTTCCATTAGTTACTGTAAATTTGTGATTTAAGAACTACTGAATGTTTACGATTCTTGTTGAATCCGTGATTATCACATTTTGGTCAGTTGTTAACCTGTAAAAGTGTGGTTTATAAGCATTTCGTGCATTTTATACCTCTTTATCTTTATACAGTATTATTGGAAATTTGTCAGTTATTCTTATATATACAGTTTAACATAACACGTGGTCAAGAAAGTCATTAATTTGTTTTATTCTAGCTACCTTTGTTCTTTGTCATTCTCTTGAGGTAACACCTGGTCTGCACATTACAGCCTTTAGTGCTAGGTTAGGTGATGCCTCGAGCTTACAAGCTCCCTTACAGGCTGAAGTGAATCATTGCCAAAAAAAAATACGTGAAACATTTCTTCTACACAAAAAAAATTGAGTGATTTACATGAAAGTCAAGTTTATTTGAAAATCAGAAGATAGTGGACCTTTTACACTTTTTAAGAGTATCGGGGTGATCTTTTGACCTTCCTGGCTATGACTCTGTCTTAACTTTCAATAAGAATGACCAATCACGTGATTAGCGCTTGCTCTTCTGGGAAAGTCCGTTGTAACCTTTTAATTAGTTAACATCAGGTTTAAACAGTTTAGTGTACGATCTTGACCAATACAGGCTGCACAATCCAGTAAAACAACTGTGATATATATCTTGTCGAAGCTCTTGTTATTTAGAGGACTTATTTTGTTGCTCTAAGTAAAATCAGTTTTACTGGAGGATATCAGCAATTGGTGATCACAATGTTTCCTTGTGGTAGAGTTATTCTGCTTTGATTTGCTATTATTGATAGTCTTTAATATCCTGAACAACTGGTCAAACAAATGGTCTTTGATATTTAGGTTCCTTTTAATCACATTTACCTTTGAAAGGTGGAAACGTTTGTATTATTCTCAGGTACAGTAATATCTCAAATGTAATAATAATAATAACTGCTCTATAACAAAGATTTGACAGAAACTATATTACAAAGTTCAAATCAATTTTGACTTTACGGAATTGAAGAAGGAAAGTGAATGTAAATTTGCAGTAAAGTTTTTGTTTGTTTGTTTTGTTAAATTTCACAAAAAGCTACTTGAGAGCTATTCTACTAGCGGTCCCTAATTTAAGAGTGATAGACTAGAGGGAAGGCAGCTCGTCAACACTACCTACCGCCAACTAGTGGGCTACACTTTACCAACATACATTATAATGCCCACACGGCTGAAAGGGCGAGCATGTTCGGAGAACAGCATTCAAATCCGTGACCCACAGATTGCGAATCAAGTGCTCTAGCCACTAGGCCATGCAAGGCTACACAATAAAGTGTAAACACTTTAATTATATATCAGACAGAAATCAACAAAATAGCTCAGAGCAATATTTAGTCTGGAGACAGTACAAAAGTCAAGAGAACGACCACACTTCTTTATCTGAAGTTCAGAGATCTGTTTTAAATCAAAATCTAGAAAAGCCTGAGAAAATCAACTAGTATATAATTATTAAAA